GCAAAATTTCCAACTTTTGGAAAAAGCCCATGTAAAGCTTTGACTTTGTCTGTAGGGGGCGCTAATTAGACAATTTCAGTTTTACTTTTTAGACCCTGAAGCTGAACATACTTGTTTAATCAAGTAATAGTTATAATAATCATGTGTGACATTCATTGTCTGCCATCTTAGCCTGGAGGCGGGATCATACCAATTCCCTTTCTCGTGATTGCCCTTGTAAATGTGAAGCTCTCTTTATTGGCTGCATGACTCTGATATAAAAACTATAGACAGCCAATTTCTCTTTGCAGATTTAACTTTGTTAACATCTGTTTCCCTTTTGCATCTACTGCGGGACATATAGTTTATTCTACAGAAGCTGCTTCAACTGCCTTGGATTCACTGCTTGGATTAGCTGATTTTTTTCAGTCTTTTCTGACCTTGTGTGTCCATTCATCTACACCATCTCCACAAAACCTAACACTACTTTTAAAAAAGAGAAGAAAAACTCTACAAGAATAAAGGTCCCTTTTAGATCAACAGTTGATCGCGCCTGCAAGCATCTGTCACTGAAAGGTAAGCGCTGCGTTTGTTACACTGATATATGTTTGAAGCTCTCTTTTCCATGCTCTTGTGCTAGTCGGCTTACGTTGTTGTTCTTCTCTGGAATGCTGTATGGGCTGTATATTTATACAGTGAGATTAAATTCATGCTGTAGTCCTATTTGTCTTAAAATGTTATTAGTATTATGTGCATAACATAAATTTAAAATGTTCCTGCTCATTTCTGCTTGTGTTTTGAATCGCTGCTTGGCTGTGATTGGTCCGTTTAAAAGATGCATGTGTGTGTGTGTGTGCAGACTGTGATGTTGCTGGTGTTTGGTAAAATGTATTTTTAACCTGCTTTAGTCCTGCTTTAGTCCTATTTGTCTTAAAAGGTTATAGTAATATGTGATAAAATAAATTAAAATGTTCCTGATCATTTCATGTATCTGCTTGTGTTTGAATCGCTGCTTGGCTGTGATTGGTCCTTTTAAAAGATGCATGTGTGTGTGTGCAGACTGTCACTTGTGATGTTGCTGGTGTTTGTGGTAAAAAAAATGTGTGTAACCTGCTTTTAGTTCCTGCTTTAGTCCTATTTGTCTTAAAATGTTAAGTATTATGTGATTTAAAATTCATTGGAGCCAGGAACTGCTTTGGTATCGGCTGCTTTTGCTGTGATTGGTCCTGTTTTAAAAGATCCTGTGTGTGTGTGTGCAGACTGTCACTGCTCATTTGAATGAATCTGCTTGTGTTTGAATCGCTGCTTGGCTGTGATTGGTCCTTTTAAAAGATGCATGTGTGTGTGTGTGCAGACTGTCACTTGTGATGTTGCTGGTGTTTGTGGTAAAAAAAAATGTGTTTGGAACCTGCTTTGGTCCTACTTTAGTCCTGCTTTAGTCCTATTTGTCTGTAAATGTTATAGTATTATGTGATAAAAATATATAGATATGTTCCTGCTCATTTGAATGAATCTGCTTGTGTTTGAATCGCTGCTTGGCTGTGATTGGTCCGTTTAAAAGATGCATGTGTGTGTGTGCAGACTAGGCACTTGTGATGTTGCTGGTGTTTGTGGTAAAAAAAAATGTGTTTGGAACCTGCTTTGGTCCTACTTTAGTCCTGCTTTAGTCCTATTTGTCTGTAAATATTCTAGTAATGTTTTTTATATTATTTAAATAAGGGTTGTGTGTGTGTAAGATGGCGTCTATGTCAGTCCTGGTTAAGAGTGTGCAATTAAAGCTGGTATACATAAATTAACTAACGTTAAGTATTTTTTGTGAGATATAAACATTTAATTTAATATCTTTACAGATATTTATATTATTCATGTAATGTCTATGTATAACTTAAAGATAAAGCTTTAACATGTCTGCCAAATGTAATATTGAAAATATCAAAAAGGCTTTATTGCATGTTTTTTCAATATTTCATGGATGCAGCCATTTTGTCTGCAAGGAGCTGGCCATGGCAGCTCAGAATTAATTTAAAACAGGTTTTTATAATCTGCTTTAGTCCTGCTTTAGACCTGCTTTAGTCCTGCTTTAGACCTGCTTTAGACCTGCTTTAGACCTGCTTTAGACCTTCTTTAGACCTGCTTTAGTCCTGCTTTAGACCTGCTTTAGACCTGCTTTAGACCTGCTTTAGTCCTGTTCGGTCCTGCTTTAGTCCTGTTCGGTCCTGCTTCAGTCCTGTTCGGTCCTGCTTCAGTACTGTTCGGTCCTGCTTTAGTCCTGTTCGGTCCTGCTTTAGTCCTGTTCGGTCCTGCTTTAGTCCTGTTCGGTCCTGCTTTAGTCCTGTTCGGTCCTGGCTTGTGACCTGCTTTAGTCCTGCTTTAGTCCTGTTCGGTCCTGCTTTAGTCCTGTTCGGTCCTGCTTCAGTCCTGTTCGGTCCTGCTTTAGTCCTGTTCGGTCCTGCTTTAGTCCTGTTCGGTCCTGCTTGCTAACATGTACAGATGCTAACATACTGCTGCTAATGTCCAGATGCTAACATACTGCTGCTAATGTACAGATGCTAACATACTACTGCTAATGCACAGATGCTAACATACTGCTGCTAATGTACCAATGTAAACATACTGCTGCTAATGTCCAGATGCTAACATACTGCTGCTAACATGTACAGATGCTAACATACTGCTGCTAACATGTACAGATGCTAACATACTGCTGCTAATGTACACATGCTAACATACTGCTGCTAATGTACAGATGCTAACATACTGCTGCTAACATGTACAGATGCTAACATACTGCTGCTAACATGTACAGATGCTAACATACTGCTGCTAATGTCCAGATGCTAACATACTGCTGCTAATGTACACATGCTAACATACTGCTGCTAACATGTACAGATGCTAACATACTGCTGCTAATGTACACATGCTAACATACTGCTGCTAATGTACACATGCTAACATACTGCTGCTAATGTACACATGCTAACATACTGCTGCTAACATGTCCAGATGTAAACATACTGCTGCTAACATGTACAGATGCTAACATACTGCTGCTAACATGTACAGATGCTAACATACTGCTGCTAACATGTACAGATGCTAACATACTGCTGCTAATGTACAGATGCTAACATACTGCTGCTAATGTACACATGCTAACATACTGCTGCTAATGTACACATGCTAACATACTGCTGCTAATGTACACATGCTAACATACTGCTGCTAATGTACACATGCTAACATACTGCTGCTAATGTACACATGCTAACATACTGCTGCTAATGTACACATGCTAACATACTGCTGCTAATGTACACATGCTAACATACTGCTGCTAATGTACAGATGCTAACATACTGCCGCTAATGTACACATGCTAACATACTGCTGCTAATGTACACATGCTAACATACTGCTGCTAATGTACAGATGTAAACATACTGCTGCTAATGTACACATGCTAACATACTGCTGCTAATGTACACATGCTAACATAACCACACTTTACTTGCACTAGAATACACAGTACTTTATACTTTATATTTAATGTTAAACTTTTACATGTATTATTATTTTCAAGATAGAGTTTTTATACTTATTATTGATGCTAGAGTTAGAGTTTTTGTTTTATTTTAATTAGGACAGCTACTGTTCAGGTTACGTGTGCTCCTCATTGCTACTGTTCTATAACTTGTGATGCAACACTGACATTTCCCCACTGTGGGACAAATAAAGGATCTCTTAATCTTAATCAAAAGGGGAAATGTTCATATATGCAGTAATACGCCACATCTCGCTGTAGAGACGACACATGAGCAATTACTTTGTGAACGACAGCAGCAGAAAGAACACTTTGGTGCAGTTTTGGAGGTGGAACGCTGACCCAAATGCATTTCAATATAATGGGGGGTGAGGAGGGGGGTGAGGAGGGGGGTGAGGAGGGGGAGTGCGAGGGAGGGAGAAATAAAATAAGATATTAAAACAGCAGTATGTGAGCTTTGGGCGAAACAATTTGTTTTTGTCCAAACTGCAACACAGAGGGAACACAAGCGCTATTGTAAAGTGTACTGCAGCAGAATAAAAATAGTTCATAAAGATTACCCCCCAGTCATCATTCTCTGCAACTTCAACCAGAAATGTGTTTGTGTTTTGTTTTTTACTCTTGGAAAAAGCGTAAACAGGCGTTCTAAATACATCCTCTGCATTTGACCCATCCTGATGCCACTAAGGCTTAAGTCAGACAGATCTCAGCACCTGCAGGAGGATCAGTGAGGGGCCGGTGCTCTGTGACTGCCCCTGACCCAGACATGGATTAAGGGGAAGAAAATGGAAGGAAGTCAAAAGTACCTCATCTCTTTTTAACCAACGTGTTTTCTGTTCTATGTCTTGTGTTTTAACCGTTTGATTCTCTGATCTGTGTGGGCGCATTTAACGGTTTTGTAAAGTCCTCTGAGATAACTACTGTCGTGATTTAGGGATATACAACAATACATTGAATTTGAATTAATTAAATTGAATATATATGTATACATTAGCTATTGTAACCGGGCGACAGTAGCTCAGTTGGTAGAGCAGTGGCCTTTGAGCCTGGAGGTTGTGAGTTCAATTCCCACCATGGGACCTACTCCAACTGCTCCCACTGATGACTGCTGTCGTTGTGTCCTTGGGCAAGACACTTAACCCCACATTGCCTGAAGCCCCCGCTGAAAGACCAAGGCTGTTTCACAATTGACAGAGCAGTCATCTTCCTGTGGACTCACCCCCTGCAGAGGATCAGAGGGACTGGTGCTATGAGCATTGGGGGCAGCTCTCATTGCCACCCCCCCGACCCAGAAATGGACAATAAAGGGCTTGAAAATGAAATGAAAAAAAAAAGAACATTAGCTATTGATCCTGTGCCTGCCTATGAGTCCTTAAAAAAGTCTAAATCAAATAAAATATACATGAACAATACTGGATGACGATACACATATAATACCCATATCATTTGTTGCTTGTTAAAAAGAATACTGCGTGAGTCATGATGAGTACTGACTTTTCTGGTCATCCATCAGCTCGGAGCGCACTCCCTGAACCACGGCATAAAAGCTTTGAACAGAACGAGACGGAAAATGGTATGTTTTCCTTTCCTCTGGGATTGCAAAAACTCTGCTCTGACAATTCATGTGAACAATGTACATCTTCAACGTGTCCTCTCTAAAAACACAATAACAAATGAAATGGTATCTCTGTGTACGTCCATCCCACTCTGCAGCCCTCCCTGATCCCAGCTGTCAGTGGGAGCAGGGCTGAACTTGGCCAAGCGGAGAACGGAGCAAGGCACATGTCAAAGAATGACGATTGTGAGTAAACAAAGTACAACTCGGCCCAAGCAAAGTCCTCCCGTCGCCGTCTTTCACGCTACAATCCACCACCTCCCTCTCATTTTGCCGTACTCTCCTAAACCTTTCTTCCTCAAATCGTCCTTTTCTGTCTTTAGTCTCAATTCTTTCCACGTTTGTTTGGTGTGTAGGAGGATTTTACCAAATTTTAGAACCGTCTTCTCCACTTCTCTGGTCTTATTTGAGTAGTAAGTAAGTAGTAATCTTTATTTATATACCGCCTTTTCACTGCAGATCTGAGTCTCAAAGCGGTTTACAATTGTTAATTTTGGGCATTAGTCTCTCACTCCACACAGAGATGGGAGCGGGGCCAGTACAGGAGGCACATGCCAGAACTATTGGACATATTTTTAGTGGTAGGGGAAACCGGAGTCCCCGGAGGAAACCTACGCAGACACGGGGAGAACATGCAAACTCCACTCAGAAAGGCCCTGGTCCGACCGGGATTCGAACCCAGGACCTTCTTGCTGAGAGGTGAGAGTGCTATCCACTCAGCCACCGTGCCGCCCAGATTAGATTGTAGATTTGACGAGCACATATCACAAGTGTATCTCGACCATAGACTGTAAATATTTTCAGACCTAGCCACGCTTATATCTCCGCCACTGAAACTATTTTGCCACGACTTCCTTCCTTGTGGGGGCTTTCTCAAAATGGCCGCGGGGCAAGAAAATGTGAAATTTGCGCATGTGTTAGCTGCATGAGCCCCATTGATTTAACAAGTGCTTTCAAAGGTCCACAGCGGCTAAACTAGACTGGTCCAAAGAAAAAATCCTCCTCTCAGCATTGACAGCATCTGGAACCAAGAGCGACTTTTGGATCATCCTGTAAAACCGTTTTCAAGAGGAAAGAAGGCTGCATACACAAGCATTGGGTAATTCTCTTTCCGGGTACACCCCCACCAGCGAGTAGTGAGATTGCAGCATGTCAGGGCACTTACTGATGGACCTAGTGGAGCCAGGACCCCCCCCCCCCCCCCCCCCCCCCAAACTGATCTCAACTCCACTAACCTGGATAGAATGAAGAATGTAGATAGCACTAATGAAGAATTCGCAGAGTCACCCGACAAAACGCACAATTCCATTCCTTTACTTAACATTTGGAAAAACATCTGCCTGTAACTAGCTAACAAACTATAGCAACAAAGAGACAAACTCTATTTTATGGAACTCCACAGACGACCCAAAGTATTCTCCAGCCCAGCCCGAAAACTAGCAAAAGATCCAATACGCCACTAGGGGGGGCAGGACTAAAAGGTCTTTATCACCAAACTTGAACGTGAAGCGGGAAAATAATGTTTTTAAGAGGATCACACGTTCTCTTTTCAATATAAAATAAATACAGCAAAGTAAAGAGAAAATGACCCATTTTCTCCACTGGGTTACCTTCACATACCTAAAAGCCAGGCCTTACTATGAAGTAGTTTGATAATGCAGCACTCTGGATCTCAGAGCTGATGAAGAAATAATTACTGTGTAACCAAACAGAATGATCTTATTATCTGGAAATCTGAATTGTTTATTGAGTTGTTCAATTAAAGAGATCTGAATGGACTCTTTACACGTAAGTCTCATGTACCTGAATATTTCTTCTAGAAACTTGTGCTATCTATAAAGGCAGTGCTCGGACAACCTCAAAACAACACCCCAAAAAATATACTAATTTTCTCCCCTCCCAATAGATTCAGAGTAATTTTATTTGCCATTTGCAGTACAACCATATTGGAATACATTAGCAAAAGTCCCCAGTGCATACTTAAAAAAACATAAAAAATACAGAAATGAAACTAATAAAACAGTAATTGTCACTGATCGACTAAAACAGTTTCAATACAAGAGCAAGAACATTAAAGTGCTCTGTTTAACCTGATAACAGCTTGTGTTAGCATGTTAGCATGTTAGCATATCGAGATGTCCTGCATCTCAGCGAACAATATCTTCTGCCAGAAGGAAGAAGCTGGAACAAGGCTTTTCTAGGGTGGTCAGAAGAGTCATTTATTATTCTAAGTTCTAGGTTTAAAAGTCTGGATTTATACAGAACCTCCAGAACAGGAAGCTCACAGCAATATTCAGTGGTTTGGTGAAAGCAATAAAAGGTTGAGTGTTATTCATCCAAAAGAGAAAGATGTGTGAGGAGTGAGACGGCGGTACAACTCTCTCCCAGCGACACACAGTAGGTTGTCAGTGTTCATTAACGAAGCTGCAGACATTATGAACTGGAAGTATGTGTTACACTGTGGGCCAGATGCCACTTTCCCCACGCGCCGACAAGAACACATTAGAAATTACCAAACTCCAGTAGTCCGCAAGTCAGCGCTGATAATTGCAATAGACAAGGACACATTCCCTTTCCCCACAGAGCATGTCAGAGTGGCTTACACCCAGACTCCACAAAATCCCCCTGTCCAAACAAAACCATATGCTTCTGCAGTTGTCGGGACCAGCTGTGCTATCATGGATCCGACCTGTTGTAAAGCAGTAATGAGAACGGCAAAGACAGGTACTCCACTCCCAATCCATTCTCTTTGTACCTTCTGATTAGGCCCCTTCCCAACGCGCCATTGAGCCTGCAATCCCCTTTTCCACTCCCACTGGTGCACACCCTGTACTACACTTTTTATTGTCTGAAACCCATTGGTCCTTCTACGTCAAAGTCAATTATATCAGAGACCAAAAAACACATTTTCTACAAGCCGAGAGCCGGACTGGTATTAAAATGATGCATATAACCTATTGCGACAGTAGTTGGTAGAGCACTGGTCTATAGCCCTGATGGTTGTGGGTTCAATCCCGCCACGACCCATGTCATCTGCTTCCACTGATGTCTGCTGTCATTGTGTCCCTGGGCAAGACACATTGCCTGAAGCCCCCACTGAAAGATCAAGGCCAATATCTTCAATGACAGAGAATCTTTCCGTGGACCCACCACCTGCAGGAGGATCAGAGGGACTGGTGCCATGAGACTTGGGCAGCTCTGATTGCCAACCCCCCGACCCAGAAATTGACTAATAAAGAGGCAGACGACTATAACATGACATATAACCTATTGTACCAAGCGCTAACACAGTGGACCGTATTTTATTTAATGATTACATGAATAATCCAATATTTTTGTGCTGCTCTGTCAGACATTTGAAGTAAAAGCATTTGTCAACAGCTCACAGACAAAAACAAAATGAATAATCCAATATTTTCTTATGACTCTAATACTAATCAAATATCATCCCCTGGGGCCATAATCCTCCATTCTCGGGCCGGATCTGACCCCTGGGCCTCGACTTTGACACCCATGTTTTATTGATTACTAATGTTAAATAGAATACATCTTAGTCAAAGGGTCTAACTCCAAATAACAAAAAACAAAGCAGAATATGTCTTCTTTGGTAAACGCTCTGCTGTGGCGCACAAAGCCGTTTCTAATGGTTTTTTACATTCTGAAGATGACTTGGAACCAGAATGATTACTTTTAATGGAAAAAAGTTATTTGCGGTTTGAGTGGAAGGCAGGACTTAAGTTGTTGACACTAAAGCCTTTGGAAGAAATGTTTCACGTCTGACAGTCTGGTTTCTTTGGGTGCTTTTGCGTTTTCTAAATCAGAGGGGAACTTACTACATATACAAATGCTTTTTAATGTCTTCAGCGCAGGTCGTGCTCCGTCAGCAACATAAATGAAAGGGTTATTTGAAGTTGTAACGAAGGTCTACAGTGATTCTTACAGTCAAAGTTAAAGGTCAGACTTTCAGAAACAGTCTCTGGATTCAATGGTTTGCAAAAGGCCATAATGGAGGCTTACATCAACTGGAAACTCATGTCCACAATGAGTCTGTGTGTGTGTGCGCGTGTGTGTGTGTGTGTGTCTACTGTGTGTGTGTGTGTGTCTACTGTGTGTGTGTATGTATGTATGTATCTTGTATGTATAAAGCTTTACCCATGAGTATAACTCATCTATGTGGCCATACTTGCATGCAAAAGCCAGATCCTTTCAGACTTCTGAAGCTGAGCGGGGCAGAGCGTGGTTTCTACTGTGATGGGAGACCTCTGGGATCACCAGATGCCACACTGTGGAGGCTGTGGCTGTAAACCACCAAACTGTAGTCGTGCCCTTGTGCAAGACACTTCACCCGCATTAGAATGAGTCTGGTGTGTGTGTGTGAACGAGAGGGGCTGACGGCACAGACTGGTTGCCTCGTTTCTGTCATTATTCTGTGAGAGTTTAATGTATTTGCCTTTTCAACAGATTTATCATCTGCCAAGACTTGTTACATGGAAGTAGTTTTTCTCTTCCATGTAACTGAGTGGATAGCACTCTCGCCTCTCAGCAAGAAAGTCCTGGGTTCGAATCCCGGTCGGACCAGGGCCTTTCTGAGTGGAGTTTGCATGTTCTCCCCGTGTCTGCATAGGTTTCCTCCGGGTACTCCGGTTTCCCCTACCACTAAAAATTTGTCCAATAGGCATGTCTGGCATGCGCCTCCTGTACTGGCCCTGCTCCCATCTCTGTGTGGAGTGAGAGACAATTGCCCTGGCGCACACCGGGGTAGTCTTGCACAGTTTTTCCAATGTGGTTTTACTGCAAATGGCAAATAAATGAATCTGAATCTGAATCTGAAAATTAACAATTGTAAACTGCTTTGAGACTCAGATCTGCAGTGAAAAGGCGGTATATAAATAAAGATTACTTACTACTACTACTTACTTACTCTTTGTATGTAGATAATAAGTGTCAAATCTCTGAATGCCTTCGTCACATATCATTTCTTCATTCCTTCCTTCAATACATACAGCATATCTAATGTTATCATATCAGTGCTAGAATTCCAGGTATATATAACAAAAGTATCCGAATGACAAGTCCTCCGTGAACGCTGCTTGGTTCTCACCTGATTTGGCGGGAGGAACTCGGGGCTGTTTTCATTCATGTACATGTTCTCGCCGTCAAACTGCAGAGACAGAGAAACGAGACACAAAACAATTAGGCGGCCGAGTCGAGGAAGGGGAGCTGAAAACTGACTTCGGGCATCAGTGCATTAAGAGGTGTCTGCTGTTGCCTAATCACTGTTGGTCCACTGTGAAAGCCCCCGATGGAGTCTGCGGGCGAAGGCTGTAATCACAGTTCATTAGACACATGTAATTAGACAGTGTCAGAGCCGGAGTAAGACACCAACTGCCTCCACTCTCACACACTAACACCTGCAGTAAGTGACTCCGCCGGAATTCTTACAGCGAAAGAAAGCACCAGACACAGAGAAAGAGCTGGTACTTGTCATTGCAGGAGGACAGATAAGGAATCTTCATTAGATTTGCAAGAGCGGCAGCAGGAGTGACTTTAGGAATGCGGTGGAGATGGGTCGCCGGAGCAGGGGAAGAGTGCGGAACAACAGGAGATTGTTGCAGGATTTTCTCACACGAAATAAAAACACAATCATTCCCAGGGAGAGTTTCCATAATTTAATAACTATAAAAAGCCCAGAGATAATTTACCTAAAGGCCTTGACAATAAGAGCTGAGAGCTAGCACATTAGCGGTGCACTTCTGTTGTTTCACTGTGATAATATTAAAGGCAGAACCAGAAAACGTTGCAGTGTTGTGTAATGGTTGAATACAAACATCGGAATTGGTAAATCAATGTTATGAACTTAATGCATTTTCCATTAAAATGAACAAAATCAAAGAATAATTGAAAATCCAGTTTGAGAAAAAGAAGGAGTGGGATGAATACACATATACTGTACATCAAGGCATTAAGGGACCGTATTAGTGGCCGCAAAGTCCTCCAATCCGCCTTTTGTTGCCAGAATCTTACTGTAGCTCCTCAGCATTTATCGTTGATGGAGAACGTTTGTTGTTTAGTTAGAAATAAATCTATAATATAAAAACTGTTTATATTGATCTTATATCCAGAGACACAAAGAAGTTAAAATATTACATATGACCTCTTTAATCATTGTTATTCAATGCTTTTCTAGGGTGAACTTTAGAAGAACAAAAGATAAATATGACCATAATTAAACAGTCATTAACTCTTTCTGTACAAAAGTAAAATGTTCTGCTCCTGATGTTGTTCACACTTTTGCAGAAGAGGAAGACATTTAGATTCTGCTTCAAGTCACACCTTTGAAAGAATGAAACGTTTGTTCAGTGTAAAAACCAAATGTTAAAAAAGTACCAGAACTGTTTATCTTCAAAAAACCCAAATATTGTCAGAGTCATTCTTCAGTGCTGCCGTGTTTGCCATCACATCACACGGATGCATTTAAGGTCAAACCAGTTGAAAAATATTTGGATATTTTAAAGCTATTTTTTGAGTACACAAAAAGAAAAAGAAGAAAATAAAACGTGTACATCTGATCTGAAGCAGCAGGACAAAAACACATCGCCTGCTCTTAGTAAAACTCAACGTGAAGATGCGTGTCCTCTACAGACAGATAAAGAGAGCCGGAGTGGGGAAATTCCAGTGTTGCATCACGTTAGAGAACAGTTAGAATTAAGAGCACAAAACAGAAGTGAATATGAACTCATGACTGCTGCTGTTTTTGATGATTTCACTGATTCTCAAGACCCACAGAATATTATTTCCTAAGTCTATGTGAAATATGAAACCAGATTCTGAAAGACTGAATTGTCTACTTTCATCAGCAAAAATAAGTTTGTTTCTAGCTGTTTTTATTGTCCTGTAATCGCCAGTTGAAAAGAGGGTCTCAGGCAAATATGTCAATGGCAGTCAATGAGTTAAAGCTGCACTACAGTAACTGACTTTGGGATTTTGAAGCTGCGGACTCACTGGTTCCCCTCCCCGCACCCACTGTTGTTGATGGAGCTAGCGTCTCCCAATATGGATAAAACATGGATATGGATTTTCACGTGGATGGCGTGACCATAGAACGATAGAACCGGGAAGCGCGGAGGAACGAGACTTTCTTTTGGCTGTCTCGCTGTGTAAGCAGTAACCGGTGACGAAGACGAGGAAGCTTCAGGTTAGCCTCCGCCGCTTGTTGTGCTAACTCAGCCGTCTGTGCTAACGGACCTGTAGATTTCTCACGAAAATGGGGGCCAGTGGTCCGCTGTGATTGGTCACAATCTGGTCCCGAAACACATTCTCTTCCTTGTTTCATCAAAACTCGATCTAATATAATGTCACGCCAGCACAAATCTGCGCTACTTTTTCTTCAAAAGGACGTATATCCCAATGCACTGCATGGACATGGATAGCATTTCCGTAATTAATACAAAAATAAAGTCAGTTAGTGCAGCTTTAAGTATAGCACACCTCAAAACTTTAGAAATATAATAAAATCTCTTCCTTCTATCTGACCAACGTTTAAAAAAAGCACCTCCAATAATATTTGACCACTTTTCTATGGAATAAAAACAAGGATTTTTGCAGCTGTTGAAAGTTGCTCGGTTCGAACGATGTGAGAACAGAAGTATTTTGTCGCTGGTGAAGAACAGTCTCAGAAAAGCTTTGTTTGTGGATCCTTTTCTGCTTCTGCTTTGAGCCCAGACGTGTTTTATACCGTTCTTTCTACATCAAAGAGCTACAGCCGACGCAGCCTGAACATTATTCAATTCAGATTGCTACTTGTATTTCCATGTTATCGTTCAGCCTTTGCTTTTTGTGCAATGATGTCTCTGATTGCACTATTAGTTCCACGCGACGGGAACAATCACTGTGTTGTGGGAGGAAAATTAAATTCTTTATTGCTAGGAGAAAATGGTTTAACATCTCGTTCTAATGAATCTAAAATGAAGAGAAGGAGTTTGGTAGCTTTTTTTATACACCTGAGCAAAAACAGAAAAAACAATTATTGTGCAGGTCAGAGCGCAGAGTGGAGGCTTGAGTGGTGTTTTGGCAGGTGGTGGAGGACGCTCGCATGCAAAGCTCATAAAATGGAAATAGATGGGGAAGCTGCAAAATAATTAGCTTTAGTGACTTTGGCCGGTCTGCTAAGAGTGGGCACTGTAAAAGAAAAAAGAGCAGGTTAAATGAATAGATGATAATAGTGTGTCATTTGGTGAAACCCAATTACTAAAGCTGAGCGTAATAAAACGGAGGCAGCCGCGGGTTTGCTGATTAGATTCAACAGTGCAAAAGGTTTGTCTTGTTCGTTAAAGATCTCTGCTGTTGGCGGCAAAGAAAATAAGTGCATTCTCACAACAAAGGTATAAACTAAATTGAAATAATCATGAGAAGAACGCTGAACAGGAACCTACAGCCTCATGAGATGGAGACATGGCCCTGATACGGTCTGTCCTATACACTGTAAACATGAACAGTCCTAGTTCTGCTCATCTCCATCTTATCACACGCTCCTCACAGCAGCAGGAGAACGCTCCATTGGTTTCAATGCAATTTCAAAACGTTCTACCGGTCATTATTTCTTATAACGGACCTCTCAAAACAATAATGACCACTGCCCTTTTGGCAACGCACTCTCTGCTTGTGATTCATGTGTGTAGATTGCCCCCGCATTGTCCCCCACAAGTTGTTCCAGCCACTCCAGAGCTAGCCACGCTCAATAAACACATATACCAATCAATCAACACAATTAAATGTTAATCGGAGAATACGTTATACATATATATTCTTAACACACATGCACAGAGGATTTCAGAATTTTCTGTCAACGTTCTCATGACAAAAAAACTGTTTTAATGCGAGAAAAAGCAATCGCGAAAAACCCGGAACTAGATTCCGGGACATTTTACGAAAATTTTCAGAGGATCAAATGATGGATTTAGGTGATGGTTAGGTTTATGTTTGGGTCACTCACCGCTGATTCTCTGTTCAGTTTTCATGCAGTTCCAGAGAGTTCTAGTCCCTTCAGGGCCGAAGTAGACCCCTCTGCACGTCGGGGTCCGCTTCGCCCTGTCGGTACTTATTTTCCGATAAGGACCTGTGTACGATACATTATCCTTTACATATAAACTAATGTGTCATCACTTTTGCCTACTATGGGGCTTTTCAAAATGAAAGCCATATTCATTTAACAAGTGCATTCAAAAGTCCACAGTGGCTAAACTAGACTGGTCCAAAAATATATTACTCTCAGCTTCGAAAACATAGAAGACATAGCTTTGGACCAAGAGCCACTTTTGGGCCATCCTGTAAAGATGTTTTTGAGAGGAAAGAAGACAGCATACAAAAGCATCGGGTAATTCCCTTTCCGGGTACACCCCCACGCGCCCGGGGTATCATAGCAGTATGTCAGCGTACATGCTCATGGACGTGTTTTGAGCCGCGACCCTCCCTCCAGGTATGCTTTGGTGATTCCTGTTTTAGAACCGTAAACAATGTCTGTGTATGAACCATAGACTGTAAATATTAGCGGACGTAGTCACACCTTTCTCCACCGTTGAAACTAGTTGGCCAACACTTTTGCCTTCTCTGGGGCTTTTTCAAAATGGCTGCCGGGAAGAAAAAATTGAAAAAATGCAGTCAGATATCAGTCACATAAACTGGGACTAGGGTTGGGCGATATTTTTTTTGTACCGGTATACCGGTATAAGTAAATTAAATGATAAGAAAATGCCTTACACCGGTGAAAACGATCATTTAACACTGAAAACAGCAAGCGGAAGACACGTTTGTGTGCGGCGCACTTTGATGACGCATCTGCGCGACACGTGTAGCAGAGCGGCGTGCAGGGACAACAACAACAGAGCAGAGAGCAAACATGGCTGAGGGCGGCGGTGAAGACCATGGTGAAGACATGCAGATTGTAGAAGACATTGTGCCAAAACGCGGAGCTACCTCAAACATATGGGAGTAGTTTGGGAACTAGATAAAAAGAAGCAATAGTGTGTAACTATCGACAGTGGATCTAATGTTGTGAAAGCAGCTGCCCTAAACAACTGGACTCGAGTGGCTTGCTTCGGACTCTCTCTCTCTCTCTCTCTCTCTCTCTCTCTCTCTCTCTCTCTCTCTCATAGTGCCATTGGT